CTTTATCTTGGTCTTAACCATCCAGCAGAAAAGTATAAAAACAAAATATAAGAAGTAAAGCCATGGTGTTATATTGAGCCGTAGGGGACTCAGGTCAACAATTTCTGACATTGCCAGTGAAGTGGAAGACCCAATACTATTATGGACTACTGGACTGTTTTAGAATATTGTGCTGAGTTAACACACCTATAATATTCAAATGACAGAACTAAACAAAAAATGGAAACATTCTTTAAAAAGCTCAGACTGCCTAAAGAAAATGGGCTTCTGATAGGGCACAGGCCCAATAAATGCTGTGTAGTTGGTTATCATTTAGATTATTGTTCAATAAGGAAAGTGGAGCTTCACAATCAGAGCTGTAAATGAAGGGTTGGAGGGCAGGAAGAGCAGGCCCAGCCCCATAAACAACCAATTGTCAAGTGCAGGGACCAGGATTTGATCCCTGGTCTTGCATGCCATGCCAGCCCTACCCCAGGGCACACTGAGCCAGCAACAGAATCCAGGCCTGGTGGTGCACGCCTGTAATCCCAGTGCTGGGGGAGACTGAAAACAGGAGGATCAGTACAAGTCTGATCTGCACAGTGAGACCCTGTACCAAATACACAAATGAAAAAAACATTTAAAAAAAAAACAAAAACAAAAACAAAAAACAATGATTCTGGGGTCCTCGTGGTCCTTGGTGCTCTCTTGAGAGACATCAGCTGTCTGAATGTTGAGACCACCTCCCCTCTACATGTACATGGGTGTGTATCACACACCACCATGATAGGACTCTAATCAATATATTCACATGTTTATGGAGACTAATGGGACACTGGGACCTTAATTTTATAACAGCAGCCTCAGGAGCTCCAAAATCGTGGGTTCTGGTTGGTTGTTGTCTTTGAAACATGGAGGGGTTTAGGGAAGCCTGCCCTTGCCAATTTCAATTAGCAATAGATTCTGTCATTTGTATCTAGTGATAATCCACATGAAAGATACTCAGGAGTTATGAATAACCACTAAGAAGACAACAATAGGCAATGTATTAATTAATGAAATTGTCCTACTAATCAGTTTTGAAACTGTCTCATTGCTATTTGTTTCTCAATAAAATTATTTTTTAAAAAAGAGTAACTCACTCAAAAAAAAAAAAAAAAAAGATACTCAGGAGAAAAAAATTGTTTCCAGAAATAACAGAAATAGGCAACTTAGTTGTCTTATTGGGGGGAAAAACCTCCTTGATTTGAAGGATAATGGCAGGTAAATAGAACTGCAGTCTCTTTCCTCCGTATCAGCGAATTAGAATACCCAGAGCTTCCAGGAAGATCCTTAAAACACTTACAAGTAGTCTGAAAATTAGTCTCACCAGTCACTTTAATTTTATAAAGGTAGAATTTTGATTGAAAGGGAACTGATAGATGGAATTTCGCTGTATTTTTTGAACAAGGTGAAGGATTTTTTTTGAACAAGGAAAAACAGGATGGTTTTCCAGTCACAGAATGAGGCCTCCACGGATCCTGCTGCAGGTGTCCTTGAGGAGACCACCTTAGCTTCTAGCTTCAGGGAGGTCCACATGACCCCCCCACGCCTACCACCACTGACCACTGGGGATCAGCTCTTTCTGGCTCTGCCGTGGAGTCTCCCCAGACCCTCCTCCATGAAGCACCTCCTCTTTTCACACAGACTTTGGTGTTGGCACTTAATGATCGTGTTTATCTGGTTTTCATCCTGAGCTGTGAGCACTTAGTCTTGCTTATCTTTGTGTCCCTACTGCCTAGTACCAAGGAGATAAAAACTTATCAATTGTCAGATGAATGGGTCATTTAACCCAAAGCCTGGGAGTCATCTTGATTTGTTTTTCCTGGCCCCACAAGTCACTGTTCACCTGTCCAGGGTAGATGGATTTTGTGGCTCTCTTGTACACCAAGTATTGCCATCTTCCACCCATGGGACTGTGATTGTCAGAAACATCTCTCTGCTGCCATTTTTTGCCTCTGATCTACCTGGTACAACTACCAAAGAGTCACTGAGGCACTCTATTACCAATAAAAAGTAGAGCTTATGTTTAAAACTTCATGTGACTCTCCACCTCTCTTACTCTGATGGCAGACTCCTTTCACAGGCATGTATGTGTTCTTACATAGATTTTCAAATTCCAATGGTGGCAATTCCAAATTCAGGGTGCATTAGAATCATCTGGAGATTTGGGTTTGGATATGCAAAGAACTTTTTGCCAAAATCCCCAGGTGGCTGGAAAGGGCCAGCTGGATGGAAATCCATGCTGGTCTCTGCCTTCATCTTCGCATTCTCTCTTATGCTGCAGCTGCATTTCTACAGAAGAACTCGCAGTTCCCTTCTCCCAGGTCTTCCTGTGGCTGGTTCTATGGTTACCTGAGTCCTGCAGGAGACTTCTTGACCACTCCAGTCCCCGTTCACCGTATGACAGTGCTTTATTTTATTAGAGCACCTGCCAATATGTTGCAGCCCACCTCAACAAATGAAATCTCCTGATAGCAAAATATCATGTTATTTTCTTCTTTCCAGAATCTCTAGAGAGATAGTAACTGCTTTCTAAATTAAATTAAAGAACATAGGAAGGAATGTAAGAGAAATGAAATTTGGATTGTTTTGTGAGAAATGGAGGAGCACCTGCTCAGGGCTCCCAAAATACCCATTCTGCAGCTGTGATTTGGCAGCGCTGTCCCGAGCTAAGAGTGTGTGGTCATGGGAGGGCTGCTGTGGACTGGAGCCCGCTCTGACATCCACTCCTTCACATGCAACCCTGAGCAGTCATTTTGGAAGTCAGTAAGTTCCACCCTGAACTGTAAAATATGAGCATAAAACAGGATTAGTGTGAAGATGAACTGAGATCATGTAGGAAGGCACCAACAAACGCTAGCAGTATCATTACAAACCGCCACCCCAACCAGTCAGGTGTAAAACACAGCTCCCTCTCCCTCCCAAGCCACTTTGCCTCCTAAAGTGAGAAAAGCTGCTCCTTGCTGCTGTGTTCTTTGTACTCTGATGAGGTGAGAGCTGTGCACATCACACTTACTAGGGAATGCCTCCCCTTTTTACCCACCTCCTGCCCCGCCTCACTAGGAAGGCCTTTGATGTTTATTAAAAGGGTTTGGTAGTGTTAAGAAAACTCAAAATCGATAGCAACCACCATGCAAGTGCTTCCTCAGGGGGTTAGGGTTGAGCTTGTTTTGCATGGAACATGGGCTGCCGGACCCAGAATTTAACCTTCTGCTGTAGCACAGCAGGCAGAAAAGAGCGCAGAAAGCAGAAGAGTACAGGTATCAGTTGGCTCGTATTTTTTGTTTCGTCTTGGAAATAAAACTGAAGCTTAATTGTGGGATCAGGTGCTCTTTAAAAGGCACTGAAAATAAAACATGGACTTTTAATAGACCACATATACCTGAGTTGAGATGATGAAAATCATCAGAGCACAATTTGTCATGTTTTTATCTTCTTAGGCCACAGTAAGTCTATCTTGGACTCACCCTAATTTTGAGTAGCTCTGGAGAAATTCTCATCCTGGTTCATCTTTCTAGAAGATTGCTCCTACCTGTCGAAAAGTCTTGAAGCCATCACGTATTTGCTTCCTCAAGACGTTGACTCACCTTAGATGACACTGTTCTCTGGGATCATGCTTATCGCATCTGTCTGGAGCAAAGGCCAAGGGGCAGCACTGCCAGGCATCTTGGCCCATCACAGTCTTGCCAGTGTATCGTGTTCTTGTTCTCACAGCCACTCTCCTTTCTAAACACTGGTGGCATTTTTCCATTAAATGGGAATATTCCAATTTTGCTTCTTCTTGTTTCTCCTTTGAGTCTTGTCTTTAAAGTTAAGCAATGGTGTCATACCGTTATCTAATTGATGTTTGAACAACTAGATAGAATCTGAGCTTGGCTGTGGCATTGTAAATCAATAGCTGCATTCTATTTCACCAGGGAGGAATTCTTTCTTAGTAGCCTTGTCTCTATCCCACCATTATTCCTATCCCTGGGAAACTCTGCATAATCTCAAGCCTAAGTAATCTCCCAGAGTTCCACTGGGTGCATGTGCAAGGGTGCTGGCCTGAGCCTGGGGAGCAGATGAATAGAAGCATGGAGGTCTGCATTCGGAATCACAGGGCGCCCACTCCAGCTTCCATGTTTAGAAAGGATGCCGAGTTGTGTGAGTGCTTGTGCTGGCTGAAGGCAGTGAGTCGGCCACTGAGCAGTGCAGTATTCAGTGGCTCAGATGCATGTCCATGCAACAAACACTGGGTGCATCTATGCGTGTCACATCTATGGCCCACCTATGGGCTGACATTCCCAGGGAAATTCCAGAGCTGTTGAAAGAGGCCCCATTTCCACTTTTGCAAAATGGTAATAGGTAATTGCCTTTGTTTAATCCATACTAATTTTAAGTGTGCCAAATGTGAGCACCATGATTGGTAGTACACCAGGAAACCTTCCACTCTCACAGTGGTTTTGCCATGGTATACTTTCTGAATCGAAGGATACTGAACATCAATGACTGTGATGTTGTTGCCATGAGCTCTTCTGACATGGAAAGGGCGTGAAGAGTCCTCATTTGCAGAAGCTGAGCAGCTTAATGGAAGGTGATGGGAGAAAGTGAATCCTCCTGCTGTCAAAATGCTGTAGGGGTATCTGGGAGATTTGCTTATCCTTAGAGGCCTTGAAATCCAAGTGTGGAGACTGTGCTGTGAGGGAGATGACTATAGAATGTGGTTTTCCTAGAAGCATTCAGAATAGTGGCCTTCCACAAAGTAGGTCAGATACAAGTATTGTGTTTTATGCCTGTATTTGACTGTCAAGACCAATGTCATTGATTAAGCAGTTGCTAATCCAATCATTTAAGATATCTGAGTCCTAGAGTGTTGTCACAGACTATGGTTTATGGTAGTAAGCCAGCCACAGAGAATGTACTATATCTACAACAATAAACCCATTCAGAAGTGAGTTCTAGATCTTCTAAAATTAATCCTCTTTTTATTTGTTTTCCAGATAACTTGTTCAAACCCAAAGAAAGGTGCATTTCAGAGAAGGAGATGCACATGCGATCTAAAAGGTACTTAGTTTCTGTGTGAGATGGGAGGAAGCTGGGGAGGAGAGTTGAAGTGGCTTGGCGGATCCACATGATGACGGGGGTTGGGGGTTCTGCGTCTAGGTCCATGTTAAAGGTCATGACTGCTCATCTCAAAAACTGGCTATGGTGAGTGCAATTGTCAAGTTGTACCTCTGAATAGTTGTGCTGCTCTTGGAAAAATCTTAGGAAAGTGGTATAAGTCTTGGATTCTGGACTGACCTAGTAACTGGCCTCTGAGTGATACCTAGAGTCTGGGCTAGAACACTTTTGCACATTTTCATCATCACTCTGGGCAGGAGCTATACCTTTGAAGGTAATTTTACAAGGAAGAGAGAAGCTGTTTCTCTTAAGGGCCTTGACTGCAGCCCAACTGGAAGTTGGTGGAGCGTGGGGAGCCCAGTGGCGCCTCTGAAGGGCCACAAGCTGGCTTTCCTGGCACTCCATCCCTGGCAGGCTTGGCAGCCCTGCTGCCAGCAAGTTCTCCCTGTTTGCTGTCCAAGACTCCCACTAGTTCTCACCAACCTGGTCCATGCAAGACTGCCTTTCTTCCTGAGGCCTGGCCTGTTAACCGAACAGCAAGAACTTAGTGGTGTTGGCCACCTTCATACAAGTAAAGAGCCATTTGGTTGTATACTGGTCTGGGTTTTGCTTAGAGGAACAGATATATAATATAAGGAACAGGTATTAACACAAGATATACAATGTATAAGGAATTACAAGACTGGCTGACAATAGCCTCAGAGTCAGATGAGGGAGCAGGTAGAGGGCGTCTGCACACCACAGACTGAAGAATTCAGTCCCAAGGTCTGAAGCTCACTGCTGTGCTCCATGCAAGTTTCTATTCATCAGCTAATGGGTCTGCAATGGAAGACTAAAGAGTCTGCAATGGATGCTGAAGAGTGCAACGGAAGCTGAAGGATCCAAGCCAGAGGCCAAAGAGTCTGTGCTGCAAGCCACGCGATGAAGTCCAAGCTGAATGCGAAGACTCAAACTCCTCTGATGAAGTGGTACATCAACTCCTTCCTCAGTCTCTTCATATGGTCTCTTTGTGCTGAGTCACTCTGGGGGGCAGAACCAATTGTGCCCCAGGGCGGACCCCCTCCAGCCAGAACCCCCTGGAGTCATCCAGCCAAGTTGACACAATGTATCAACCACTACAGGTTGGAATGAAGAATCTAGTACTGGGAGGAATTGTAATAATCAAACTGATAGTGTACTTAGAGCCTCCATTGAAATAAAAAGAATAATCCCCCCTCCCTACTCAAGGCCCCAAAGCTCTGCTTTTATCAGGATTATATTGTTTCCATAATTAGGTAATTTTGATCATCTGTGGGGAGCCTGACTGTAAGGGGATGAGAAGTGAGGGGGAAGGGGGACTTTCCCATGAAAGGCCTGATTCGTAGCATTGTAACGGTGGCTTCTAGCGGCCTGCTGAGCATGGAGACTTGGGTCAAAGAGCAAAGCTGTGGAGACCTCATGCCTAAGGCATTGTTTTGTTTCAATTTACTAGGAAAAAAAAAAAAAAAAAGCTAGCCAGATCGGCTCCTCACAGTCCCCAAAGCCAAAGGTACTATTATGGAGGACTGCAAATCAGGCAATTAAAAGAATAGATCTCAAAGTAGCATTACTAGACAGAGCACTGCCCTGTTTTTTCATGGAGAGGAAAGGGAGGCTTAAGGAGGTCCAGGGAGCAGGGGACACCACACCAAAGGCTTGGGCTTTCCCCCACTGGCCTCCTCTGATGGCCCCAGCAAGTGGATCTCCCTGTGCTCTGTGAAATGTGCCCTGCCCTGGCTCCCCCACAGAATCACCCTGGAGCTTTTCTTCTTTGCATGCTTTGTTATTTTGTTCAATTATATTTTCTTGAAAACTTTTATTTTCATCAGTACATGCTTGCAACCCATGATTGCGTTCATGAAATGTGAAACACACCTTAATTATTTCTACTTCCCCTTCCTCTGCCCCTCCCTCCTCCCTGCATCTCTTGGACCCCTTCCTGTTTGTACAGGGTCTATCTCCCACTTTCCTATTATCTTTTAGTTTGCTTTTTATGCTTTGGCTTTCTCATATGAGAGAAACTATATATCTAAGTTTCTGTGTCTGACTTATTTCACTTTGACATTATAGCCTCAAGGTGCATCCATTTTCCTAAAAATGACTCAAATGTATCCTCCTTTAGTTTGTTAAATTATATTTTCAATTAAAAACATAGAAAGCACCTGCTTAGGCAGAGTGCAGAGACCAGGGTTCGATCCCAGGCGTGCAGTGCCGGCTCCGTCCCCAGGGTGCACTGAGACAGTGATTGAGACTGGGCGTGGTGGCACGCACCTGCAATCCCAGTGCTTGGGAGGCTGAAAACAGGCGGATCACTATGAGTCTGATCTGTGTAGTAAGACCCTGTAGATCCTGTACTAAATGCATAAAAAAGTAAAATAAAAACATGGAGGTAAAGTTAAAGCTCCCTCACAGCCATCTATTCTCTTCTCCCTTTCCACCCCTTTCCCAGCCCCAGACCAATCTGTGATGCTGCCCAGTTTTATGTTTGTCTTAAAATAGACTTCTATTTGTACATATATAAGTATGTAATTCTTTTAAATCGTAAGTGGTATCATACTACATATCTTTCTTTTTTTT